CGCCCCGCCCCGCCCCGTCGCGCCCCGCCGCGGCCGCGGTGGCTGCCAGCGTGGCTGGCGGCTTGCCCCCGGTGCGGCCTGCTGTGCCCGCCTGTAGCCTCGAGCTCCCCTCCCTACTCCAGGCCGAGAGTATCGGGTCGGGTCGGGCGGCCAGTCAGGCAGCCAGCCAAACGGGTTGGTCAGAGTGTGGAGGTCCGGAGCGACGTTCGACGCGCCCGCGCCGCGAGAGTGGAGTGGTGGTGGCGGAGGAGGTGGAGGCCCTCTCCTCGTCCGAGGTGTGTTTCGAGCCGAGCCCGAGCGCGCAGCCGAGCCGAGCCGAGCGGACAGGAAAAGCAAAGCAAGAGCCCCCCAGCGCCAGGGCCGTAGGCAGGCCAGGCCCGGGCGAGAAGAAGAACAAGTCTCGACGTCGCGACGCGAGCTGCGCTGAGCTCCGCTGAGCTGCGCGAGCTGGTCTCTGTGAGGATAAACACGGCCGCGGGCGCCTCTGCGCGTGCGAGCGAGTGAGAGTGTTGTTGTAGGCGAGGCCCACGACGGCACGGCGGAACTGTGTGTCTGGGTGATAACCTTCAGCGCTTAGCGCAGCTAGCGCAGCGCCTCGGCCCAGAGCGAGCGCCTTGGCCGCCGCCAAGGGCCGCCCCCCGGACGCCACCAGGATGACGTCTCCGAGAAAGTTCGCCGAGAAGATCGCCCTGCACAACCAGAAGCAGGCCGAGGGCACGGCCGAGTTCGAGCAAGTGATGCGCGATGTCCACAAGGCGACGAAGGTACGCAGTCGTGTACGCAGCAGACGGAGCAGAGCGCTCGCGCGCCCGAGTGCGAGCGAGAGGGAAGGGACACCGTGGAATGTGGGTGCTGGGCAGTGTGTGTTTATAACCTGTCACAACTCCGCTGCGCCGTGCGGCGGGGGCGCCAGGCCGCCCGAAATTCAAACGCGACAAATAATTCGTCAATTTTTCGCGTGATTTTGCACGGATCGCGGTGTAGCGATTGGCTTGTGTACAGTGGGCAGCTGTTATTTACCCGAGTCATGTTGCGGGCTGTGTGTTGTTGCTAATTTGGTTCTGGCGGTATACAATGGCGGACGGGGCCACGGCCAAGGAGCGGGCCCGTACTTAAAACTCCCACAAAGGCCCGTGCAGGCTCCCGAGAGGCGCGTTTCGCACGAGACGGCCGCTGGGGAAATGAGGGGCGAAACATAGAAACACTCTGCGCCTCGTCTGCTGGGAGGCGCGGCCACCCGCGGTCAATGTAAACACGTAACCTAACCTAACCACGACGCACCGTCGTGTCGCCTGGCAGTAGTGTAGTAGTCACGGCCCGAGCAGACGGTTCATCGCCCAATAATCTCTCTCCCCCCCACACTCGTCGCGTGCAACCGAGATGTTTCCATTTAGAGCCATTTAAATATTTAACCGAGCAACACCCTAATTCATTGACAACACTTGCATCCGCTTTTCACCCAATCATTTCACACCACCTAGAATAGAGAACTTGTTCAGAGTGTAAACTCTGTTGCCCTGGGTCAATTTTGATTTTATCTTAAATTCTTAATAAATTCTTCAGTATCCATTGATTCCTTTTATAACAATTGGGATCATTTGTGGGTTTCAAATACATTGACACTACTTTATTTGGAAATAAACTATCAACTTTCTCCTTACAAGCCGAGGTGGCTCTGTTCTGTTATAGGCGAAGAGTATTGGGATATGTCAAACTGACGAATTGCAGTCCAATTCTGTCACACTACCAAATGTCGCAAATGTTGCTGTCCAAGCCAACGCTATGGTGGTAACGTTGTCGAAGGTAGGCGTATGTACTACCTCTTTCGTAGATCTCATTCCTCCATTTGTGAATTTGAAAAACCTTCTTGAGCCCTTCCAGTTAATTTTTTTGTTCGGTATTTAGTATGTTTAGAAAGTTACTCAATACTCAAATCTAGTCGGGTGGGTGTGCTTAATTTAAAACCATGCATGGCTAGATAGAACACAACTGCCCACATTTTTAAAAACATAGAAAGAATCGTGTAATGAAGTAGCCATATTTAAACACTCTTCCGTAGCCTTTTTTTAAAGTTTATTTTTTGTATTTTTGTTATGAAATGTATTTCTATCTGCACGGTACTGCAAGTTTTGGTACTAAATTTGCTTACTACATATTCAGAATTAGAAATAATTTAATCCTATCTTAGTCAGGTGCATAGGTTTCATCAAAGTTCAGTTCTCATTTGTTTTATTTATGTATTTTTAAGCATTCTCATTTTTATTAGAAATGCATGCA